AAACCCAGTATTGTCTTGGAACACATGTATTTTCAATATACTATGCCAAATGGAAAAAAGCTTTTGCTGCATTTACAGTAACTCTTTACTTCAGCTTATTTTTAAGCATCATACAATTTAGTCTATCACTTTCAATTCAAATAGAGATTACCATTTACCATTTTCACTGTGGATTACGTGTTTCTTAGTTTTGCCGACTGCAGAGCCAAATCCTAATCTAAGGAGATGTCTTAAAGTTGCAAGGACAGTAGCAGGAGGAACGTTCTTGAATTGCTTAATGACAACAGAGTGACTGGACAGCAAGCTTTGGAATCTGAGTAGGTAGTTAGTTGCGTGTGGTTTTGTTGGTCTAGGATGTGTCTCCCCCCCAGCATTCACTCTGTCATTTTGACAAGGCATAATTATTGCTCTTTGTAAGCTTGGACTGTTTAATAGTGGCTGTGGGTTTCTTCTTATTACAGTCATTTAGCCTGCGATGAAGAGAGAGTGGAGGAGGCAAAGCTCCTGGTGTCTCACGGTGCAAGTATTCACATTGAGAATAAAGAAGAACTGACCCCTCTGAAAGTGGCAAAGGGTGGCCTGGGAGCCATCCTTAAAAGAATGGTGGAAGGCTAGTGGGGACTTCTGACTTGACTCTCTTTCCTGTTGCACTTGTATTTAGGACTGCAAACTTTGTATTTGGATAGTTCAACTAGGATGTCCTGTATGGGAATCAGCATGGTAGTACCTCCTTCAAGTACAGTGCCAAAACAACTGTTTGTACTTCCTGTTAATTAAACAGGTCACTGGTTTTAAAGTCTTTTTCAGTATCTTGAAGTTTTCTTTGTTTACTGTATGATCTGTATAAATGTAGTCATTCCTTCTATTTCAGAGCCTAGTTTAGGATTATTTCTTTCAAGCAACAGGACCAAAAATGTTTTAACCATATAAAGTCAATTTTATTTTGCAAGCTTATTCTAGAGTCTTTGTTTCTTTCCCTTAGCCTTTGTGATTTGTGTGTGGTTTTTTGTTTGCTTGTGGGTACTGATTCTCTTTCTTCAGATGATTCCAAACTATACCTCTCCCTTTGTAGAATGTGGTTTGCTCAGTTACTTGGATAATTGTATCCATTTTTACTCTTCTTAGTCTATTCAAGTGAGCTCCAAGTGTTTAAAGCTTTTCTGTTGTTAGCTATTGTTAGCCTGTTTCTTCAAATCTTTAAATATATGTAATAGATGATGTGCACTCGACTGCTTGCGGAATGCAGATGCAGTTTCAGGGTTACCTCTGCAAATACACTGTTATATAACAGATGGCTCTAGGCACTTCTCTGGGACGTACTCTGAATCTAATTTTATTTCCTCTGGCTCCTTCTGTAGATTTCTTTTTCTTTTCTGTTTGACTCCCATTATGTAGCACTGATGCTCAGTTTGCCATCTTATTTTCTAACAGAAGCCTGGTTTAATCTCTATTTGCTCATAGCAAATCCTGGTATTAAATTATTAGAAGGCAGAGCTAACGAGTCTGAGTGTGAAAAGTGACCTTCTGTTCTGATGCTGGAAGGATCACTTTTGCCACTAGTGGGATAAATTTCTCTCTTCTGAACAAACAACGCTGATGAAATTCTGTGAAATAAAGAACTTTCCTAAACAGCAGTCTTTGGTGTTAAAACTTTATTAAACTTACATGTAACAAAACCAATATTTTCTAAATAGCTTGTACGCTTGGGATGTGAACAAGTCAGATGAAACCCTGCCATCCGTTACACAGTATGGAAATGGAACATGTTTGTTCTTCAGCTGCAAGGAAGGGCTGAAATGGAAGATAACAGTATCTACAGTTTGACTTGTAGAGATCAAGGTAATGCAATTTATTTTGATAAGACAGAAACTTATAACCAAATACGTTCACCAAGTACTTTAAGTCTATCCTAGAAAGCAAAATACAGGTTAAATTTCGCTGAGGGTACCTGTTGAGAGCAGGAGGGATAACTTGCCTGTACAGTAAGCTCTGGCCATGCAGACTTGCTTGAAGGAGAAACCTGACTGAGTAAATGTTTCTTATATATTGTGCAGGCACTGCTGAAAACTTGAATTGAGAAAAGCTGGAGTTAGAATTCTGTGTTCATCCTTGATCTTTCTATAGCAAAAACACCCTGCCACAGCTCTGTAGCTTTGTAAATCCATTTCCCTAGGAGATGGTTTGAATGTTGGCTTAATATCTGGTTTCCATATTAATGATCCCTACTCCCTCAGGAGAAGATAAATGGGCCATGCAGCAAAGACTCTCAGAACATCTGAGACAAATTCTGAAAAATGTTTCTACGTCCTGCATAGCTCTGCAGGGTTTTTGAGCTACGCACTGTGGATCAATACCTAATTTGGCTTGTGCTTTGCCAAGAGTATCAATGGAAAGCTAGGAACAGTGCCCCATCCTTTTTAATAAACTATTTTACGTGAGAGAAACTTCATGATGAGAACAAGCATCTGCCAGAAGGCTAACCAAAATATCTCAATATGTTAAGAAACTCCAAATAAATGTTACGTTCCTTACCTTCCTCCTCACCCCCAGCAATCTGTTTTGCATCTTATTTTTGCTTTTTATTTTGTTTTAATACTATTACACACTGGTGGTTAGAAGGATGAGAAGAATTATTAGTCCAGAACTTGTGTTCAATTGTTCTTTCTTTTTATATAAAAACATTAACATAACTTGAGCAATTTCTAATTTTTAGCAAATGTGTAAGACCTGTGGTGTTCTAGGAAGATTCCATTAGCTATAAAAAGTAATTACAACTTCACCAGCATAAGCTCCTATATTACTGTAGCAAGTTATATAACAAATACAGGCGCAGAAATTTGTGAAGGCAAGATTAAGGAAAGCTTAAAAAATTATGATAATGACCACATAATATGTTCGTCTCTTCAATCACAATAGTGCTATTGCAGAGATGGGAAGGTTGGAAAGCTGTTGCAGTAAGAAAAATTAACTAAGACATATATACAGGAGATGACTTTAGAAGAACTAATACGACTACAGCAGAGTCGTGAAGAGAATTGTTTATATTTTCCCATGAACGGCAAGAACAAAAGAATTCCTAGGAATGCCAGAGAAGGAATTATTTAAAATTAATACACTGTCAGCCAAGTCTCGGGCTCCCTTGGACCAGTAATTGATTTGAATTTTCTCATTAGAAAACACCTTTGGTAAGAAATGGCACCCAAACAGGAGTAAGTAGTACTTACTCTTCTCTTGCTGTTACTGAGTGTGCTTAATGTTGCAGTTCTGCGTGCTTACAAAATTTTGGGTGTGAATATCAGTTTTCAGTAAGCTTCTAAAGATAGATTGAAGGATGTGAGTTTGCAGATTTTGCTTAGCAAATTGCAACAAGAGTCCATGAGAGATGCCTGATTAAGAAGAGACTTCCACACAGGTCATGACTTACAGTTTGCCCTGGATATTCTGGGGAGAGAGGAATGTGAGGATCCACTGGGAGAATATGACAGTGTTGGTATTAGTAAGGGTTTGACCCATGCAATCTGGCACAAGCGGTTTTTAGCTGAAACAACATTATAAGAACACTGTAAATGCTCTTTTATTCTGCAATGATGATAAATGCTAGGACACACGTACCAAAGACAAATACTTGAAAGCCAGAAAACTGGATAGAAAGGGCAATGAATACAGTTATGCTTAATGATCCAAACTGAATCTTAATTAGGACCTCATGCCTTACATCTTCATTAAGTGTTGCCATCTTTTTTTCTTTTTTTCTTATTTTTCTTTTTTAGTGCTCATTTTTTTGATAATCATACTTACAGCTGTAGGAACTGAACCTGAAAATTTTAGCCCAGATGTATCTTTTTATCTGTTCTAAAGATGACTATTGCATATAATTAATTTTTGCAGACACCTGTAATAAACTAATATTTACAGGAACAGTCGCCCAAGGATTAATGAACATTAGATCCTATAAAAGACTTAAGTGCCAAAAAGTTCTGGATTCCTGAGCCAGATACAGTTTTCTCCAATGCATGGGACTGAAACCAGTGTCTCCTTGTGTCAGTATCTGCCTCACGTAGTTCAGAAGGGAGCTGCTGAGGCTGTGTGTCTGCATTCACCTGAGCCCTGTGGTCCTTGAGCTCTTCTGAACATAGGAATCTTTGCCCTTTTCAAAACCTGAGTTTGCTTAACCTTAGAAACAAGGCCCAGAGAGAAGAGGTGTCTAGTGATCAAAGTGTATATGGTTCAATTCCCTTTTCTCCTTCCAAGAGGGTCCTCATTATTCAGCTGTTGGGTATTGATGTGCATGCAATAATTAGCTTTCCTTCTGATGCTTCCACCTGTAGAAAACAAAGTTACACTGGGCTGAGGAGGCAAGAAGAAAAGTAGCATGAGTTTGTTGCTTAATGGGTAGGGCAGTTACCTGGAAATAGATTTAAATCATCTCAGGCAGAGGAAGCAATCTAAGCTAGTGTGTTGTATAATAGGCAGTGTTCACTTCTAAGTTTTGAAAGCAATTGTATCTGCATGTCATGAGGAATCTGATACTCTGTGTGCCTATTATAACAAGCCTTGTAAAGGATTTAGATTTCCAACTCCCATTGTCTGGAAACCAGTCAATCAATGTCTGAACAGAGTACCTGAATGCTAGTTTCATTAAACTGAAAACCAAAACTGCTGAAACACACAACTCTGGAATGCTGGTGCCTTAGGAACTTTAAAGCCAAGAAGGTCACTGTTAACAAAATGTATTCCATGACAGGCAGCAACAGGGTAAAAGTTTCCAGGATCTGTTTTTTCTTTTTTTAGCTTTAAGTGGAATTCAGACATACAAGGTTTCATTGCTCCAGGTCTTAACATCTGTTTCTGCATTCTGTTGACATTGATGAAACTTCTTTTTACTTCTGATGTGCAAAATCAGATTCTTTAAACACTGCAGTGTGTTGGCCATGGTGATTGTTCTTGGTACACAGGAAACATGAGGCTGGCCAATGCTGTTTCTGGAGAAGACTGCTGTAGTTCAGAACTGTATGGATACATGCAGCATCACTGATAGTTGACCAAAAAAGCCCTTTGTCAAATGTTTCAGCCCATTTCCTAATTTGTTTTGCAAAATAGATTGGATAAATGTGGATGATAGTATTTTTATACTTATATTTAGGTACAATTATAACTAGATAATAAATGAAATTTAGTTAACTTTAAAGGCCAAATCTTCAGCTATTCACAAAGTGCATGTGTAACAGACCCTTTTCAATCCCCAGCCCAGTGGTTCACAATACAAATGCTCATTTAAGTTTTAGTCATGCTTCTACAATGACAACAATTTTTGTGTAAAGGGGTCCAAAGCTGACAAGGGAAACTGTATTAAAACTCTAGGCTATTTCTTCTTTTTCCACTTCCTGCTTCTCATCATTTTCAGGTGTTCCAGTGGCTGTCGTTTCATCAACGCTAGGGTATTCATTTGTCGCATTGCTTGATGGAACTGTGGTCGCAGGCATGTTGTCTTCATTAGGTACCTGAACATACTCTGTATTGGGCTGTTTCTGGGCCATTTCTCTGCAGAAAGACAGGATGAGGACTGTGATTTCACATGTTGAAAGGCCACCTATGCTAGATTCTTCCAAAAGAATAAGTCTTTGCAGTTTTGTTGTCTAAACAGTAACCCGCATATTACTATGACTGATTCAGGAGCACCTGAAAAGGCTACAACATCACTGCTGCTAAGACAGAAAGATTGACAGACTGTTAGAGAGTAAGACTGATCTGCATCACTGGTTTAAGTGGTCCCATTAGAATTAAGTGGATTTATTGTGCTTAAATGGCAGGCCAGGAACAGAAGGGGAAACTGAGTGCTGGCAAACGGTGCCTGAGAAGGGGTAGCAAAACACACTGCTTGGTGTGAGCTTTCTGAGAAATTCCATGCAGATATGATGTCCCATTCAAGTGCATAAAAGATAGAGTGCAGTCAGAAAAGAGCTACGAAAAGGCTGAAATCTAGAAAAATATCTTTAGTAACAGGTATGAATTCCATTTATCTTATCAAAACAATAATAAATCAACTCCTAATATTTAGGCACTGTCACATGTAAAAAATATCAGATGCTAATGGATTAATTCCATGTTGTAAGATTTATTAAGATCTGAGCACAAAATTAGTTGTTAATGCTACATCAGTTCAAAGCAGAAATTAGATGCATGAGTGACAGGCCACTGGTCTGGATTAGCAAAATTCCAACTCACAAAGTCTTAGACCTGTGCTACAGGGAAGTGTCTGGATGACCTAATATTTTTTTTCTGGCCTAAGCTGCATATATGCATTTAGCATTTAACATTGTAGGGCTAAATACAGTCTGTGTAGCATATGACTTTATCCCGATTCTGAAGATTTAGCAAAGCACAGGGGAAAAAGACATTTCCAGAGCAGGATCAGAGTGGACATGCTGGGCTCCACTTTGTTGCCTAAACCTTGTGCCTCCTGCCATTTGAAATGCCTCAGAGTATCCCAAGTGAGTGTCCTGTAATTTCAAATGTCACTGAACTGAGCCCTGTGTTTAACTCCAGTAACGTATAATCGCAGTAAATTTGCTGTGGCAACCCTTAGCTGCTATTTCTTTTTTTACTTCCTCCATCTGCCATTAACAGTCACCATTAACTTTAAATATTAAAAACTGTTTTTCCAACTTGCCACTTCTAGTTGTGTTCTTCAAAAAACATTTACTTTAGTATTTTAGGTACTGCTAAGTGGTAGCTGCCTATAAACATAGGGAAGAGGGTAACAGCAACTTCTGTTACAAGAGCAACAACATAAAAGTCATACAAAAGCAAATATTCTCACTGGAAGTTTTCTCAAAACCTGTATTACTTACCCTTCAAAAAATATTTGGAGTAATTACGCTTTACTTTAGTTCTGAATTATCAGCAGTGCTTTACAGAAATAATTGTTTTAAAATGAAGCAAACAAACGCTTACTGCATCTCGTTACTTGATGACTTCTTATTCTTTGCCTTCTTGGTTAAGATCCAGACGATAACAGAAATTATAGCAGCTGCCAGAATTGCTCCAATTAATGCTCCAGCAACAATACCACTGTCTGAATCTGGAAGGAAAGAGAAGATTATCTGACTTTTTAAAAAGTATTATTATAGCAAAATCCCATGGAAATTTAGTGGAGGAGCCTTTAGCAGAAAGACAGTATTAGATTTGAAGACCTAAAAACTGACTGACAGCTGTATTTCCAGAAGGGAGGCCAAAGATTCTCTAGGAAAGAGAGAACCATGTTTTTGTGACTTTTGCTGCCTGCTTTCTTGTTGGTTAGCTCCCTACCCCAGCAAACCCAACTCTGTGCCTGGCTAAAGGAAACACTGGGCTGTTAACACTGGAAGTAGTTGAAAGCCTTTGCTCTTCAGACCTTGCAAACAAATTCTGAAATTCAGGTTGCCTTTGTCTCTGTCTTTCAGCTAAGATGTAAGATGTATGCTCTGATCATTTGTGAGCCCCCAGAACCTTCTGTTTCCACTTCAGTAGAGGTTCTAGCTCTTCATCTTATAGACCGCTGAGTAATTGAGTGACCATTTCATGGACATCTCTTGTGGCTGGTTGTGCACAATATGCTTGGCTCTTGTTAAATGTTACTGGTTACATGAAAAATCTGCATGCAGATGTGGTTGACCACTGCTTGACAACAGTCAGGATAAGGTTCATCACTGCTTGAGGGCAGTCAGGTTAAGGTATTTTTCCATGACTGCAGTATTTTTAGCTAGTGGCCACATCTACAGTGCCCCAGTCCTTAAAGTACCACATTTCAGTAATGATTGTAAATTCTAGGGTGGGGGGACCTCAGTGGGACTGTTGGCTGGAAGAAATTGCTCTAAACTCCATGTCTGTCAGTTCTCAGTAAAGGCTCTGCACTCAGGGCCAGGTTCAGCTCCTGCTCCCAGTGCGAAATGAAGCTGGGGATGTTAAATGATTTGTCTAGGTCAGTGTAAATTCTGGGCAGGCCTGGATAAGAACTCTGGAGCTCTCCAAAGCCCGTTCTGTTCTTATTTCAAAAAAGACTATGCTTTAAAGTTGTTACAGCTGTCATTTTCCTAAAAAATGTACATGTCATACATCAAATACGTGATTACCTTCATGCATTAAACTTACGCTTTGCAGTTAGGTCAAGCTCACAGGTACTGTTCCCCAGGATGTTGCTGGCTATGCACCGGTAATACCCAGTTTCAAAGGTGGTGAGATTGCTGATGTAAAGAATGCCAGTGTTTGGATCTGTGACAGAGAGCAGGTACAGATTACTGTTCGTATACTGTAGAGGCAAACAGTTTTCTTTGGTTAGTCATACTGATAGCTATTAAGAGGTTAGAAACACAGGGTTCTCCTATTATTCATTCATTTGGGGTTTTTTAATTGTCTTTAAATCAAAAACATTTGCTTTCCTTGAAAATTACTGCAGTGGATTCTGCAGGAGTATATCAGAACATGAAAAGCAGGCCCCTACTCTGTACCGATCAGTCTGTCTGTGATGTTTTACCCACATGATACTATTGTCAGTGTAACTTCACAAATGAAAATGTAACAGGTACTGAAGATTTTCAGGATGGAGGTCTTAGCACCTGGATGACAAATTGACTTAACTTACTCTAAGTTAAGTCAGAATTCCCAGGGAAGGGAGATGAAAAGTCATAAACATTTCTTCCATTTTAACAATTTAAAATAATGGCATAGGCAAGATTTTAACATGCCACACTATTTATACTAAAAAAAAAAAAATAAAATAGGAAAAGCATCCTGTGTTTGTGACAGCTATCAGTTGATTTGAATAAGTAAAAATACAACTTTGTGCCATTGACCATCAGAACAGCAGGATAAGTTTTAACTACCCTACATGATACACAGTGTTTGAAATGGCTGGTACTATGGAATTCCAAATAATGTCTGGTACTATGGAATTCCAAATTTTGAACACGGTATGATAGTCCCATAGTTACGTACTAAGTTGTTCAGTCACAGGCCTGAGGGTATTCTCATCTACTTTGTACCAGTGGTAGGTAGGGCGAGGCAATCCTTCTTCACATTTGCATAAGAGGTAGATCAGATGGCCTTTTTCAGGTGTTCCTTCTATTTTGCAGAAGGGTTTTGATGGTTTGACTGTAAAATAGCGAGGAGAACAGACACATAGTGAGTACATACCCAGGGCTGCCACCTCGAATCCTGGTACTGTGCTGCTATAAGTAAAGATTTGAATCCCATCTACACATTTCCACCTGAGAGCAGAGTCTTGTTCATGGATCTGACCAAAGGCTCTCCCATAAAGATTTGAGTAATATTAAATATATGTACATGGCGTAGGATGCAGTTTTATTGTATTTTCTGCCGTTTGCATGCTACATATTATTATGGAGGTATCAAGATGAAGACTATCAATTGCTTTAATTATAATCAGCCAATCACTATTTGTCATATACCATTCTGCCACATAGCAGCATCATTTTCTTTAGGGACACAGCAAGAGGTTTTCCACATAAAGAGAGAGGGTCAAGGCCTGATTCTTCACTATGTTGCAGTTGTGTAAGGCATTAATTAACTGCAGTTCTGTTAAAAAGTATACCTTGATAGCATTTTCTCACTTTGTACACAGGAGAAGATTCTGTCTTCACTTACACCTATTATTTTTCATTTCCCACCTATAGATACTCTGTTGTGTTTTTTTAGAGTACCAAAAATGAACACAGATCAATTTTGTGTGCATAAATGAACAACCTTTCTTGGTTTTCATGTGAAAAGTACAATCTCTTACTCGACTGCTCCAAGATTTACTATTTGTTGGGGGAATTTTAGATGAGAATTAACAGTAGTACTTTAGCTTTTCAGGGATTGAGTTTACATGGTTTTTTTCTTATCCCTGGCAGATAGGCAAATGATACTGGAATCACATTCTCATGTGACTTTTATTTGTCACTCTTACCAGGTATGAATTCTCAATATAAAAGCAATGATTAGATGGGGTTAGTACAAACTTTTATCTTATTAGGAAGTAAAATAGCTCATTCCACTGCTTTTCATCTTTTCTGTCCTGCTGGTTTGTGGTTGAACTATTGCTTTCTTCCATCCAAAATAGACTTTGTACTACTTCTATCCAACACATAATAAGTTTCTAGAGTTTCTGGGAATGGGAGTGAGCCAGAACCCTTGGGCTATACTGCTGCCTCTCCCTGGATTTACACAAGTCACCGTGACCAACATTAGGTAAAATAAGTAAAATTTTGGTCTTTGCTGGGGCTGGATTTGATGGCTTCAGAGAGAAGTCACTCCCAGCTTAAAGGGGTTTTTATTTTAATCAGCGTTAGTATCACTTCATTTTCCAACATGAAAAATGTAGAGAGGTTGGGTAATTCCAGCTACCAGCTGACCTGCGTACATTAGGTAGCTTTTTGAGAGTGGAGTGAATCTGAAGGCCACTCATGGGAAAATTAGGTTTTACTGTGGGTCAGGCAAAGGTAGCTGGGGAGTGCTATCAGGTCTGCTTTGTCTGGAAGCTAGAGGGCACCCCAGGCTCTACCTGCCTCCAGAGCCCTTGGAAAAATCTGTGCAAGTGCATCAGTGAGCCCTTTCTCTGCATCATGGGCCTTGTTTATCACAGTTCTGTTCTTCCCTCTGGTCCTACGCATTTTGAGCCATGAATTCAGTGTTTCATAATAAGGGAAGAAAACTACAATACAGCAATAGAGAGGAAAGACGCTTACCCAGCACACGGACAATCACAGATTTTTGACTCTGTCCAACGTCAGCCTCTGGGCTGAAAACTTCACAGGTGTAGGAACCAGTATCTGAGGGCCGCATGTCGGAGATTGTTATTGATGCATTTCCTGGACCTGTTGCAGCTGTTATCCTGTTCTTAAATTCTCCATAGGAGTAAGACTGGCCTCCTGTATAATAATAGATCTGTGATAAAGAATCAGTTGTTAGTTTAATAATGAGAACTTCCTGCCTCCTTGTTTGGTACTCATAATTGGAATGTAGTTGATTTGTGATTAAGCCAAGAAATGTCACCCCCTTTCTTGCCCCCTCCCCCAAGAAAGCAGAGATGAAAACATGGTACATTTGAATATATATTTCTAGTCGTTCATAAAAGACGAGCTTTTCAGAAATGGGATTTTTTAATTGTGTAAATGGACGGTACCTAGTTCTTTGTGGATACTGCAGTCACAGACTGATACATTTGCAAAAACAAAGGCGAGACCTTTGACCATCATATGACAATTCTGTGAAAAAATGCCAAGTCTTGACAATGAGTAGAGGTACTAATTGAAGCACTGATAATTTGTGATATAATTAATAAGTAGCTCAGTAGAAGATTGTAACGAGAATGGACCTGTCATTGCAAAAAGTGAATGGCTGCAGAGCTTTCCAAATACAGAAGCTAGCAAACCAAAAACTGAAATGAATCCAGAAGGCATAGATCTAATCGAACAAGGCGCCTGATCTGTTGGCAGTAAATATGGTAGCAATAAAAATGCAGTATGAGAACAGCAGCAGAATCTTCACACGTGCAACTAGAGCAACCATGTTGTTCTCCTTGTTTGTGTCATCAGGGTCAGAGACAGTGTCGTGGAGTATCTTGGTTTTTTGAGTTTATACCATAGGTAGAAGTCAAGAATACCTGTTTGCTTCGGTGCTTGGAGGGGCACCTCTCTGGCATCAAGAAGTTCCCCTTTTACTAAATAGTAAAATAGTTTTGCAGAATTATAGACATAGGAAGGATAAATGTCTCTAAGAAATGCAACATTTTCTCCCAAATATAAATTTGCTGTTAAACATTGACCAATTTCTCTGACTTCAGGAGCATCAATTGTACTTAACAGCACTGTGGGAGTAGAATTGGCCTCATAAGTTTATAAGCCCAAACCTGTTTTCTGTTCACTGAAAGGAGAGGTAGAATTGTGCTCATTGTGGAGCCTGGTTGATAGTCTGAGGCTTGGGTCTTGAGAGTCAGTTTAGGAAGTGCGGTATCTTATCTGGTCTGGGGTAAATACAAGAGTTCTCAAGGAGTACACATGCTCTGTCCAGTCTAGCTGTGCTGTGAAACCAAGATCTGAAGGAACAAAGCTAATGTGGAAAACTATGGAACGTTAATTATTTTTTCTCGGTTGTTAATGATAGTGGTGTGTAAAAGTGACAGTATTTGGGATAGGCAGCATGTTCCCCAGTGTCTACATGCACAAACTCCATTGTCTAGGTAAAGTGAACCATTTACCATACTCAGTCATTTTTTTGAATTGGTGATAGGTAACCATATAGAATTACAGGTTGGGACCCAAATAGATCTAATATCATTCCTACTGACAGTATTCCAGAATCATCACTGTAAGTGTATTTATTGAAGTTGGACTAATAGCATGTTTTTTAATAGGAATAGCTGGAAAATGCTTGTAGGAAAAAGCTTCACAGACTCTTGTGAAATGTCATTCACATTTGACTAGTATCAAAATTTCCTTTTGGTCAAAGTTCCCTGCCTTTAGGGACACTGCAGATCCCTAGGCAAGAAGTAAAATTTGCTTTACTTTGCAGATCGACTGATTGCATTTTGAATTAAGAATATTTATTCTTAATTCTATTTATCCACCCTGATACGGTGTTGACTGAAGTCTTTAAGCAATGTTATCTGAAAGCCTTTATTAGCTTAAGGCAAGTTACACCCCAAAACTGTCAGAGCACAGCTGGTTTATGCAATGATAAGGCTTTGGAATGAAGGTCAAAACTCAGACTGCACAGCACCAGCAGCCCGGGTACTGCAGCTTGGCCTCATCTCAAGTGCAATTTTGCCTTTATCTTTCCCTGCCCCAGGATTACAAACACCAGGTACAATTGATGCAGGGCTCTGAACTCCAAAGCTACACCACTGCATTGCCAACATGTGGAAAAACTGGTGTTGTAGTGCGGAAGCATAAGAGGTCCAGTTTTAGCACAGCAGCAGACTAGGTTAGAAAGTCTGCTGAACAGCTGGACAGACTCTCCAATTTCCATTGTTTGCATCCAATGCCATCTGTTTTACAACTGATTTTATGCTCTGCAAATGTCTAGAGCTAGACCTCTATTGCAAAACTAGAGTCTGGATGCACACCCTTGTATTCCCCAAGGAAAGAGAGTGTTCAAAATAGGGAGTTTGGTTTAAGCAAATCTCTCATCAAAAAACGGATCTACCTGTAATTACAAAACCATGCTGGCCACACTTGTCTCATTCTACACTTATCCAAGTACGAGCAACAGCAGAGTGTCACCCAGTGTTTCTTACAAGAGTTCAAAGTTACAAGAACTGTGACTTCTGACTTCAGGCTCCTCTGAAGCTGACGTTCCTATATAGGTGTCAGCAGTGATGGGCAGGATTTGCATCTCCACTTGATCAACTGCATCTGTTTGAGTGGGGTAGGGAAAGAGCTTCCATCAGCTCTTCACACTAATGTGAAATTAAGTTGTCCCATGACTTAAATGAAGTAATGCATGACATGCAGAAGCATGAGATGAGAGGCAGGCCCGTTATATCCTACTAAATGGCCTGATTACTGAATAGAGGGGCTAAATTCTACTTAGTCTACCTCAGAGTGATCTGGGATTTACGTGAGAGTCAACAGTAGCAGAAGCTGCCTGCTGGGTGCTAGCTTAGCTATAGCACACGTTCCTGGGAAACAGGACTGGCACTACAGCGAGTCTTAAATGCAGTCAGGGCATGGCAGTAAACATTATAGAGGAGCAAACGCTCCTCAGTGTATTTGATCTGAAGTCAGGGTGAGTTTTGTATCTAAGCCCTCATACAATACACTGAAAAATTAATCCCCTGTGTTCTCTCTTCCTGTGTGAATGCACGCAGAGGAAACATTTTGTGTACACGGTTAAATCTGAGGCAACTGTCAACACAGCAGAGAATATTTGTTCTCTTCATGGATTTAAAAGGAATCTTTCTGGGTTGTTTTTTTCAACTATGAACATAAAGGCAGTGGAACATCTCAGGGAAATGCATTTGGTTCCTCTGCAGGCTCCTGCCTGTTCTCTGTTCTTCTGCTCCTGTATGATGCTTATCTCACCAGCTCTGGAGTTCATTGCCTGAAGGAAGGTGGTAAGCACCAAAAAGGCTGAGTAATGTTGTGATTAATTACTGAGTGTATATCTTCTCCCAGAGGTATGATTGGATTGTGTACACAGGAAATTTCATTTAAGAGGAATACGTTTCAGTTAATTGGCTGAGAATTCATAGACTATTTTAAACAATACACTCAAAAGGGGTATTTTAAACTCTTGTTCAAAGTAGTTTCATGGTGTCCTTGCAAAGCTCGTATTTGTGCCTTCCAAAAAGCTGAAATGAAAACCTTTGCAAAAATGTTTCTGTTCCATTTCAAAAGTAAAAAACTTGTTTTCTGTTAAAGATAAAGAAGACTTTTTATTTTTGGGCAACTGACAGTTAATGTTCCTTCCTACAGACACACATCTCGTTGGCATTTCTCTCCATTTTACCTAAAATGTCCCTAAAATGTCTGTTTGGGAAAATTGTAAATTTAGTCAATGGTAGACTTTTCCTGGAAGGCTTTTTAATTTGATGTGATAAATATATTTAAAGTGCAACATACTGAATGTAAAAAAATATGAAATAAATCTGTTGTGCTTCTCCTGAAAAAATAAGCTTTTCACATCCCCAAGCAAGTCGTGAGCATCTCTAGTGAAGCCCATGATTTACCAGTGTAGAAGCAATGTTGATGATGCAGTAATAGTCGCTGCTTCTCCTTACCGACTAGTTTGCTCATGCATGTTTTTATATAATGGTGCCTTTTCACATTTCATGGGAGCAGCTGCCTGGGATGACTAATCAAAAAATATCACTCTGAAAAATGTTGTCCCTAATAACTCCACAATCTGAAAGCACCAGTCTCTGCAAAGCAGCTAAATTGCCCAGAAAATGTCTCCCTGACCTTAGAAAGAGTTGCAGCTTAGTTTGTTATTCAACCTGTGGGCCAGGCAGTGCCTAAAGGCACTAAGGTCAGCAGCCATCCTTCTCGGCTTTCTCAGGCAGTGGTATAGTTAATCTGCATTTCCAAAGTCACAGTTTCTGATGCAACCAAGAAAATTATTTGGGCCCATAGACTTCCAGGGCAGTTGAGTCAATTTTCCGAGTATCTGTTTGGGGAAGCTGGCTTACAAACAGCACAGGGAATTGGAAATGATCATACTCATTTGGAAGAAAATCTCGGTAATCTCAATGCGCTCAAGATGCTGGAGTCAAGATTATTTGTATCCCCAGTTCTGAAGCATCTGGTACATGAAAGCACATGTCCTTTTCTTCTTCTTTAGTCTGACTTGTGGGAAGGCTGCTTCTCTTCTAGTGTGATGGTGAAGAAAGTATTCACCTTCAGAGGAAGCAGTTGGCAAAGCTGATGCTGAGCTGAGGATTTTCAAAGGCTGCCAGATGTTTGGCAGAGAGTTTGGAACCCACCTACAGGTTTTCTTTATAAAAATTCTATAGGAAGATCTTCTTTAGGGGGTGGAGGTTGTGTGTGAAAAAGCAGACAGTAAATTAGAAGAAACATGCCTCCATCTGCTTCTTTTCTTCTCCGTGCAGGACAAATACGTACTAGATTTTGCATAAGTATGTGTCTTTCCAATGTCTTTGGATGGACTCATTCATAATTTCCAGGTCAATATTCCTCCCACTCTCCATCTCATGGTGTCATTGCATCACAATGCTGTACGTGCCCAGTACATCGGGATATCAAAATTGTAAGATGAGATATATTTGAAGATGTGTTAAAATGTCCCGCTTAATCTCCACAGTAGTCTTAATTTCCTGACCAGGGGGCAGTTTCAGGATATGACTTCCTTTCCAGTGTCTGTCTTCCCTCCCCCAAGCTCCTTCTCACTTTCCCCCACCAGCAGATGCAAAGCTATAGCATCCTGTT